TTCCTAATGACCATCATTATCTTTTTAAGTCTGGAATGTATAGGAAGGTTACTTTACTTCTTTCCTTCTTGCTTGTGTTTTGTCCCCCACCCCCACCCCTCCCCGCCACCACCTGCAATCAGTCTTGTTAGAATCTCATCAGATTGGATTATTTTTAAACAATCCATATGCCAAATAAATTTTTTCTTCAGACTTATGTAGCTCATTTTTAAAAATGAGATGGGTATGGAAATGCCTGAATTTGGTAAGCTTATCCAGATTGCCATCCAAGTAAGTTTAAAGCCAACATTGTAGACATTTTTCAGCATTCAAAATCCCCGGCATCATAAGATCTCTGAATCAGGAATTAGAGAGATGGCACAGTGCTTAGAGCATTGGCTGCTCTTACAGAGGACCTGGTTTGGTTCCCAACATCCACGTGGTCGCTCAGAACTGTCTGTTACTCCAGTTCCAGGGGTTCTGATTTTCTAGAATAATACGCTTTTCCAGTGTGAAGTCACTCTGCACACTTAGGGATTAATAAAAGAAAAAGCTCTTTATATTAGCTCACATCTGGCTCTGGGTAAAACCTAAAAAGAAAATGGCCTTGATTAGAAGATTTTGCTAACTTTTATATACACCATAGGTTAAGCATTTCATATAAACTGTCATTCTTTAAATTTCTTTCAGGCTCCAACTGCAGGTCAGGTTACACTTTGAACAATTTAAACAGAGACAGGAGACTACAAGTCTCCTTATGCACTTAGGCAGATGGGAGATTTACACAGCAAAGATGTTGGATATTGCCTGGATTATTTTAAGTACACCTGTGTCACTCTTTTTCAAATAATTCTTACCAAAGGGCTTCTTGCCCATCTGGCAGAATTATGCTTTTCTCAAGAGTAGGACTGGGGGCTTTATGATAGACCAGGACTTTCCTTTTGGTTGTGACATTGCACTGTATCCTCGCTGACTGTTGGAGGCATGTCCTATATAGGGATGTGCATAATGGCTGACTATAAGTCAGCGTTGTCTCCATTGTTCTAGGAGTGGAGTCTAATAACTAGTCAGTCTTTATGAGCAAACATTTATATCCTAGCATCCTAAACTTTGCTTATCTCTAACATTCCTGGTTAGCAGACTACTTATTTGGGGGATATTTTGGAGTCAGTGGCTCCCTTTGCTAAATTCTACTTTGTGTGACTTATTGTGTCCTAAGAAAATCTATTAGTAAATCTTTTACAACATCAGTTCTATTCTTTTTTCTTTATTATTTAAAACAATTTTTAAATTTAAATATATTTTGATCATATTCTTCCCCTCCTCCAAGTCCTTCCAGATCCTCTTTTCCTTCCTGCATACCCACCTTTAAGTTCTTTCTCAAAAAACAAAACCCCAAAACAACCTCAAGACCTCCCAACACCAAGAGATCAAAATAACATCCTCCCCAAAAACCCTACCAAACTGTAACCAAATAAAAGTACATACACACACACAAAATTTGGAGTCCATTATATTTTGCTCAACTACTCCTCAACTTGAGGTCTCAAGTGGTTCTCAATGTGTGGGTCCTGACCCTTTTGAGGATAAATGACCTTTTTACAGGAGTCGCATATCAGATATCCTGCATATCGGATATTTATATTATGCTTCATATTATGTTATGAAGTATCAACAAAAGTAATTTTATGGTTAAGGTCACCACAACATGAGGAACTGTATTAAAGGGTTGCAACATTAGGAAGGTTGAGGACCCTTATTCTATACCCTCTATGGTTCTATGGATTGTAGCTTAGTTATCATTAACTTAACAGCTAATAACATATAAATAATAACATATAAACGACATATGCCATATTCATCTTTCTGGATCTGGGTTACCTCTCTCAGGATAATTTTTTCTAGTTCCATCCTTTTGCCTGCAAATTTGATGATATCATTGTTTTGTTTTTGTGTTTTGTTTTTTGTTTTTCGAGACAGGGTTTCCCTGTGTAGCTTTGCACCTTTCCTGGAACTCACTTGGTCCCCAGGCTGGCCTCATACTCACAGAGATCCACCTGGCTCTGCCTCTCGAGTGCTGGGATTAAAGGCGTGTGCCACCACTGCACAAGTTTTTTCTATGTCACTGATATCCTCTTCTGGCCTTTGAAGGCACTACCCGTGCATGGCACACATACATACATGTAGAGAAAACACTTACACAAAATAAAAATTAAAATATAACTGAGTTTAAAAAAAATAGTAAAATCAGGCCAATTAAGTAACTCAAGAAAATAACTCAAGAAAAATTCTGGTGAAAATAACAGAATAAAGAATGGTTAAGGGTAGTGGTGGCGCATGTCTTTAATCCCAGCACTCAGGAGGCAGAGCCAGGCGGATCTCGGTGAGTTTGAGGCCAGCCTGGTCTACAGAGCAAGATCCAGGACAGGCAGCAAAACTACCTTGTCTCGAAAAACCAAAAAAAAAAAAAGAAAAGAAAAAGAAAGGTTAAGCACTTTACCAATAGGGTTATTCCGTAGCAACTGTCAGAATGACCAGAGAAAGGAGTTAAAATGATAAAAAGCCTTTTAAAATGAAAAGATAATCTTTAAAAAGGAAGATGTAGGTGAAAGGAAGTATTTGAGTCCTCATGGACAAAATTTAAAGCATGCATATTTTAAATACATATGTCAGCTTTTAAGGTTTTTCTAAGTCTTTTCCAACCAACAGCAACCCCTTCCTGAGCATATATGTACTGTAATCACAGTATAAGACTATGTCTATATTTCTAGCTTTTCTAAGTGAGTATATAAGAAGTTCCAGAATGATTTTTATCTTTTTGTGATGAAATTTCAAATTTAAGACTAGCTTACATTTTAGTTGTTCATATATATATATATATATATATATATATATATATATATATATATAATTTGAATTACTGCAGTAAGCTTATGTGTATGTATTTAACAGTTGGTACTTCCTCATTGCTTAAATTCATACTGTCACAATTTGGTATTATAATATTGTTACAGATTTTTAATTTATTCTGACTCTTAAAGAGTATGTTATGAAAAATATGCAATGTAAATCCTTTTCAACAATTAATTGTTCCTGCTTGCTATGAACTTTGACTTGTTAATCCAACCTTTTGAGCAATAGAGTTGTATTTCAATCTACTTTACTGCCATATTAATATCTCAGTCAGTACTGAATTAGAGAAACTCAGAGCTCTTCGATATTTCATATAAAAGAAAATTAATCCTGAGACTTGGTTACATAGGTATTTAAAAACAAAACAAACAAATGGGAAAATAAGTTGAAGAGGGGTGATTATTTAGAAGCAGGTATGCAGGAGAAGTAATGTGCAAGGGTCCCTTTTGGTCTGCATTCCCTGAGCCTAAACCTGCTACTACACTTCAGAGATACTGTCCTGGCCAGTCCAGCTAGTCCTGGACCTGTCACAGAAGTACTGCTTCATCAAGATGTCATGCCTCTGCCCTTTGTTCCCAGGACTTGTGAAGCGGCGCCAAGCACTTGCCAGTACTGCTTTGCCTTTTTCTTACTTTTATGACCTTCCTCCTACACATTGTGAAATTAGAACCTAGCAAAAAGCTAAGTGGGAAAGGAATTTAGAAAATGGGATGTGTTCACTTAACAGCCCCATGAAAAATGTAGCAAAGCACAGTGGGACAGAATTAAGGCCTGTGACAGCCCATTTCATATTGTGTTTGGACACAGGCCATATATATTTCTAGTGAAGTTTAAGTTCCATGTTTGTAGTTCTTAACTTTAGAATGTATTGGAAGCACTTTTTCATTATTAAATCTGAATAGTCTTGCAAATGAAGTAGTAAAGTCAGCATGACAAATGTCTAACTGCATACAATTCTTTCCCTAATGGACATGCCCAAAATAAACAGAGATCAACTCCCTCCCTCCATGGTAAGCAGTGGCTAGGAATACTGATGTTATTGTTTTACCTAAGATGTTGAAATATTATTGGCTAGAAAGTAGAGCTGGGAATATTGACAAGGTTTATTGCTTTCTTAACCTCCTCTGTTTACACATATGCTTATTGCTATTCTATATATCCAAGGGATAAAATGCATTAAACTAGTAAACCTGAATATATAGCCTTCTTAGAGGAAATACATTTTTCTAGGAAACATTTTTTTTCATTAAACATCAATCATGCCATTTAGTTCATAACTATTTAAATTTGTCCTAGGAATATAGTCTGAAATTTGCTTATGTGGCTTAGAGAACATGTGTTTGGCTACTTCTATATCCATTAAATATCTATATTTATAAATGGTTCTACTTTCTGTACTTGAAATTTGTGTTCACTCACAACTCAGTAACAGGTTGCCGTCACCAATTCACTGAGAGTTAGCTACTCTTCCATTAACACAGTTAGCTGAACATACTGATGTACCACGGATAAGGACCAGAATTCTCCTCTGTATACACAGGGTGCTTTTTAGGCAAATCAGCTTCAAGATGGAAATAGTGCCCAGCATCCCTAATATTTCTGACCTCATTTCTTTCCTGTATTCAAAAATCTGAAATTTCCAGTATTGTGAAATGGAGAGAGTTGATAGGCTGTCTTCATAGATGTAATAATTAGTAGTAGAAAAGGAAAGAGAAGAGACCACACAGTTTAGCCGGTCAATTAAAAGTCATGGAGACGTTAGCTAATTCTGCTCTGTAGGGTAAGTCAGGGCTGTGGAGCTTGGTTGATACAGGGCACCTCAGACTCTAGAGAGAGCATGTAAGCAGACACAACAGGAAAGGGGTACCTGTCATCAAACTCGTGTCTGGTGGACCCTTCTTGTAAGTTGAAGAACTGCTAAGCTTTGTTCATCCAGACGGAATGGAAAGTAGTCCGTCCAGTCTCTTCTTCTTACTCTGCTACTTTTATTGTTGTTCTTGTCATCAGAAATGTCTTGTCTCTTATAAAATTGTAGTATAGTCATGCTTTATGCTGTCATTTTATCCTGTAGTCCCCTTTAAGATATTATGCATATTTATATATTTCAGTGGAAGAACTGAAGTCCAGTCAGTTCAATATGGCAAAGAAAAGGCAAATAAAGACAGGGTATTTGCAAGGTAAGTCAATTCTCTTTTAGTATCTGGGGTGTTTTGTTTGTTTGTTTGTTTGTTTTGTTTTGGGGTTTTTTTTGGTGTTTTTTTTTTCCGTTTTTACATTTTAAGAGTTTATTTTGTGGTGTATGCAGGACACACACACACATACACATACACACACACACACACACACACACACACACACACACACACACGAAGGTCAGAGAACAACTTTGGGGAGTTGGTTCTCTCCTTCCAT